GAATTGATTATTTGTTTATCCCTGTTGGGATAAAAATATTGTTACTGGAATTAAACTTTGACAAAGATCTTTTGGCCAAATCTCTTAATTCCGGGACAATTTAATCTCTATTTTTATTTATTTTTCTAATTGTTTATTTGTATAATTGTTTATCGTTTACGTCCCGTATATTTAATTATCATTAATTAATTCGTAACACGTTAATATTCATTTAATTTAATTTAAACAAAAAAAGAAAGATACTCTGCCACCAGGGTGGTCGTGACATGGCAAATGTTTGTTTCTTGTTAAATATATTTTTTAAATAATAAATGAATGAATTCCACTAAATCAATAATGGACTAATTTCTTGCTGGTATTTTTAGTAGGAGAGGATTTTTTTCAAAAAAAGCTTAATTAATTTCTTTAACAACACATTTTTGGAAAAGGCTTGATTTTAATCAAGCGATTTCTTTTTCATTTGTTTTTTACTTAAAAAAAAATTGGGAGAGTGATCATGATCATAATCATAATCATGATCAATGATCAATTTTGTGAAACGAAAATTTTCCTTTTCTTTCAAAAATTTCATATAATCTACGATCCTCCGATTCTTTAGAGTTAGGATAATAACAAAATTATCCCAATCTTTTAAAATAGTTTCGAATGGAGATATTCTCTTTCCCCACCTGCCAAAAAAAGAAATGGCTTAGTTGGCTACAAGTAAACACTTGTCCCAATCACTGAATAATTTTAGTTTTACCTTCCTTTTGCATTTCTCCTTAATGGGATAGCAAAGATAATTGATATTATCATTACAAATAAATAAAGAAAATATTGCATCACCAAAGTAATAATAATACTATGACCATGCATGAAAAATGAAAATTTATTATATTACCAATAAATCTAACGTATTCTATTTAGGTGTCAGATTTAATAAAATTATCTTTCCTGCATCCATACAGGTTCTATCCATTACCTCCTTACTTCACTCCAACGAGGGATCACAGCAACTGCTGCAAACCCATCAAGTTGTAGCTTTCGAAGGGTGAAATCCATATCACAGATGAGACTTCGTAATTCCTTTCTCCTTCATGTTCCGTAAAAGGAGAAGGATACAAAATGCAATTTAACAGAATCTACAGCCTCCCGATCACGCTGTGAATTCCATTGCATTTTATCCTTAGTGACGGGGAGTCGGATTAGTTGATCTTAAAAAATCAAGGAAAGATGGTATGAATATCAGAATATTTTTTTACTCTTCCAGAGTAAATAAAATCACCAAAGATGTGTAAAGGTCGTTCGTTCGTTGATCCTTGAGAATAAAAAGAGAAATAATAATAACTATTAAAACTACATGGAAGACAGTGAAATTTTTTATAAACTTTTTTTTTGTATAAAAATGAAGTCATTTATTTGATTGATGAAGCGTAAGAATATCTGTCACAATTACCTACCATCATCAAAAGTTGCAGTCAGCAGGTATCCTTAATGTGATGGATGGTTTGGGCGGTGCTTGTGGTGGTCTTTGAAATTTAATAGATGGTTTGTTAGATGATGCATTATCTATCAATTTTTATAAACTAATTTAAGATAATAAGTATGTATACCTTCATTACTTGCCACCAGTATCACTCTCGTATGGTGCAAGTCACTTAGTCCCACAACTTTCTGCGCCACAGTGGCCAATTTTGAGAAAAAATTTCCAATCATAAAAATTTTATGGTCACATGATTTTCAAAGATCATCACACACATTTATATGATTTATTAATTAGATAATATATAGTT